AATAAAGTTATACTGGTCGTTTATAACCATAATGGATCGTTAAATATTGGTAACTCTGACTTTGGTTCTGTCGGAGCTCTATGCTCACGAGGGGTAAAATAGTCATTTCAAGTTAAAACTATAAAATGAGATTGATACCAATGGATATGTGGCTCAAAATGCATCAATCTAGACTCAATAACGGCTTAATTTGGGTTAGAAATGACCAAGTTATGATTAATTAAAGTTTAGTCAATTTGAGTGATTTAGACGACCTCAAATTTTTCCAAGTCTGGGAAAATCGGATTGAAATCCGATTGATTGGACCAAGCGCAGATTTTGGAGGGCTTTCAAAATATTCTAAGTATGGAAAAATTCGATTGATCGGATTGAAATCCGATTGATCGGACTGAACCCAAAATGTGGACATGGGCTCCCAAGGGAGCTCTGGTTTGATACTACCTTGTAATTATAGTAATGTACATATTCATACAATTCAAAACTTGTCCTAAAACATCCACATACATAGATACATTGATAAACCAACCTCCATACATCATAATTAGTTCAAATTACATCATTAAACTTCATATCATCCCAAAACTTCAAGGTAGGAATATAGTTGTCATCCACATCACTTACATACCCAAATTATAAAAAATAACATCCCAAAAGAATAAATTTACAACTTTGAGACCCTTGAGTTTATATATACAATACTTTTTTACAAAAATACACGAATTATGGTTACTTTACAAAATAATCGTCATCGCTAAGCATTGATGATTTCGTCGAATACAACTACACTTGTGAGGGAACATCATCAACCACGTCCTTGCCATGACCTAAAAAATGTTAAAGGAATGGGTGAGCGCAAAAGCTCTGTATAAGATGCCTAAGTCACCCACTTTGGACTCCCTTGAGCTACACAACACACAATAGGGCTAAAAGAGAACCGGGATCATTCTTTAGGGAATCCATAGCATTTAAAACACAATCAATCACATCAACGGCCTTTTCACAACTTATCACAATTTTGCATGAAAATGTAATGTAATGTAATGCAATGCATAACCGTTCCCAAACTTGGTCTCTACCGACCTTAACTCACACCAAAAACCGCTAATTGACTTTACCGAGGCGAGATTGATTAGCTATCTCTGGGCTTTAAACCGACGACCATTCGAGGCCTAGTTATCAACGTTACGTGTCCTATAATCGACACGTGCTCCCTCTAGGTCAAAGTTAGTACCAAACTCGCCAAATCTGATCAATTTAACTTTATGATTGTGATGAAGTGAATTCACCTTTTCCCTTCCCGCCATGTCATGCATATGCTTTAATCTCATCAATTTAACTTTAATTTTATTTATATAGCAACAGTGGCATAAACATGGCATATTCTAGAAAACAAACACAGACATTGCATTTTCTATAATGTAATTACAAGCATGCTCATCATACAATTCACTTCATCACAATCATACTATCATTTTGATACAACTAAGCAATATTTCAAATAATCAATAACAAACATTTCATTAGCATAGGAAAGAACTCATCTATACATCATTTTCTAGCATGCTTTTTTAGCACATCATCATACTATCACCATTTTAACTCATAATTTCACATTAAAGAACGAAAATAAGAGAAATCATGGCATACTTGCTCAATAAAAGGCAAAGTTTGGACATTAGAAATACCTACCTCAATTATGCAAGTCAAACAAGCTTTAACGCAAGCCCTAATTCAAAATTCCTTAAACCCCTTTCAATATTGGAGTCAAATGATAGCCATTGCCAAGCTCTTTTACTTTCCCTTCTTGCCCTTCTTTAAATTCTCACCCTAACCCACTCAAATCTAAGCTTGAACAGTGGAGGACATATATGCATATAGATATAGAGAGATAAGGAGAAAGTTTAGAGAGAGAAAGGGGGTTAGCCAAATGGGGAAGAGAAGGGGGTTTGGCCCTTGTCTTCATTTTGTTTCCATGGCTCATATTGTGCAAAGTGTCAAGCTCCTAATGGTTATAACTCTAAGCCAAGTTACTAACATGCCTTACTTAACCCCTGCAATGCCATCGACGTCCTTATTTGTTTAAGTGCCATTGAGACAACGTTTGGATGCGGTCATTATATAAAGTACATTACTCTTTCACCACCACTTTCACCCTTAAAACAAGGTATTCACATAGTGCCGACTAAATAATGTCACACATAAATGTAACTCAATTCAACGTATTATTTATGTTATTATTTGATATTAAATGTATGCGGCAATTACACATAAATGTATTAACATGTTATTATTTGATTTTATGAAAGAACAAATACTTGGTAAAGTTTATATTAATTGCCACACTCGCCACCTTCACCATCAAAAGAAGGTATTGATCACATAGTGCTGAATAACTAATATCACACATAAATTTAACCCAAAAAAATTGGAGATACTAGTCGACACCTAAGGACCAGACGTCGACCGAAAACTCCCAATCAGTCGATGCGTAGACACTTCAAGTCAACTGAGTCCTGTATACATGAAAAAAAAAAAAAAAAAAAAAAAAATCACACTCGCCACCTTCACCATCGAAAGGAGATATTCACATAATGTTGGATAACTAATGTCGCACATAAATCTAGCCCAAAAAATTGAAAATACCGATCGACACCTAAGGACCATACGTCGACCGAAAGCCCCCAACTGATCGACGTGTAGCCACTTCATGTCGACCGAGTCATGTAAACATGGAAAAAAAAAAAAAAAAAGGTTATGACTCTTTTCATTATTTTGCTAAACATCAAGAATTTTTTATGCTGTCTAAAGTTAACAAAAACGACTTTAACCTTGGGATGGAACTCTTTAAATTAACTTATGACAATGATTTTTATAATGCTCTATTTTTCTGTGATAAAATTTAACTTTAAATAATAACATAAATAATATATTGAATTGAGTTATATTTATGTGTGACATTATTTAGCCGGCACTATGTGAATAACTTGTTTTGCGGGTGAAAATGGTGATGAGGGAATAAGCTACTTTGTGTAATTGAAGCATCCAAATGCGGTCTTGATGACACTTAAACAAATAAGGGCGTGGCCAAATATAGGCCAAATAATGTGCACCACATGGGACAGCAACAAAGTGACTCAAGAGGATTTGCTCCCGCCTATGAACCTTTACAACACTATCTCTATTCATTGTGATATCTCCAACTTACCATTGCCGAACCTGTTGTCTGAAGACCTTATCCAACGGACTCCATCACCCACAAAGACATACTCACTCAAGCACACCCTCCTTGCAATCTCTCAACCATTTCCAAATACCCATAAACTAGTATGGTTCAAACAGTTAATCCTAAAACATTCCTTCTTTTTGTGGCTAGCAATCCAAGGAAGACTATCAACACAAGACAAGCCTTCGATGGAGTTCACAATGCAACCTAATGTGTGCGCTCTACGTCTTAGTGCAGCAGATAGTCATGAACATATCTTCAATCAATGTTCATACTCGCAGGGGCGGAGCCAGTGTATGCCCGAGGGGCACGTACCCCCTGACTTGTCCCCACTTGCTATAATACATATACTAAATTTATATATTTTTACATGTGTATATGAAAAAAATCAAATAATGGCCCCCCTCCCCCCCCCCCCCCCCCCCCTAAAATTTTTATTTTCTAAAATTATCTTTTAAATTTTGTATTTCTTCTCTTTTTTACTCTTTAAGTTCATTTAATTTCCTTTTAAAAAAAAAGTCAAATTTTTCTTTTTGAATCAAACTCCAATTATTTTCCCTTTCAAATTCTCTCATTTTTCTTTCCTTTTTATTATTTATTTTTTTGGTTAACTATTTATCTATCTTAAATTACTCATTGATTAACATATTATTTTGAGTAATTTTTCTTCTTTGTCTCTTGATTTATAGAATCTATATTTATATCGTGATTATTGATTTTTTTTTTTTTTTTTTTTACACTATGCCCCCTAAATTTAATTTCTGGCTCTGCCCCTGCATACTGAAATTTATTTGGAATGCTCTGCTGCATAAATGTGGGTTTTACACAAACCCTAATTTATGGCAAGAGTTCCTGATTTGGGCTTCCTCAAATTGGAAGCAAAAATTCATTCAGCAGGATCCTCACTTGGAAGTTCATGCTGGCAAGTTACGCTTATCATGTTTGGAGAGAAAGAAACGACATGATTTTTAGGAATAAATGCTTACCCCCATTACAAACTCCATGCAATTGTCAATTCAGTGATATTGAAACTCTTCTCGATCATGAAGTGTAATTGTCCATACGCAGAATAAAGCAATCTTCCGAGCTCTTTTTACGAACCAGACAACACGAACCCCTTCTTCTCCATCCCCTCATAAACCTGACACCATAACCACCATAGATAAGCTCTCAACCACCTCCAACACCAGTGGCCTTCTTGAACTTCTTGATGTGTTCCCGCCCATGTATATGGGAAGATTGTGGAATTTACCTGGACTTCACCTTGGGCTTTTGATGATGTTGTCATCTGGGGCCTGTTTTCTTTTCTGGGCTTTGGACATTAGCTTGGCTGATTCGGATTTGTACCTTTTGGGCGGAAACACATCAACAAGTTCAATAAGGACCTCTTAGCATTTATTTATTTTTATAACGACTAAGTAAAAAAATTAGGATTAATTACACTGGCAACCTATATACAATTTGCTTTTAGGTAACACTCATAAAAATGTTAGTAACAAGGCTCTGAAACAAAAAAAATCACTGATCTAAATTATAATTATTATTATCAACAGAAGTAAGGAGCTTGATGTTCTATTGGGCTTGCTTGGGTTAGCTCCGAATTTGACAAGTACCATGGGCTGATCCTATAATGGCCCAATTTTAGAACCCCAAATTCTTCAACAAAATGAAAACAGTTCGTTCTCACGGTTTGGACTGATTCAAGAAAACCGGCCATACACTTTGGATCTTCTCCCTACCAATTCACTTGTCTGTTTTGCAATCATTGCCATTTGTTCTTATAGTTTGCATCGAGTCTTTGGCATCCAGACTGTCTTCTTCTTCCTCTACAGCTTTGTCTTTGTTTGACTTCTTAACGTATAGCTCACTCCCACCCCATACCCAAAACATTGGGTAAACTATCCCTTGCTTCTCTCTCTAAAACTCTGTTTCTCTCTCTAAAGCAATCCCCATGGAACTCAATGACAATAAAGATGATACCACTCTTGTTAATCTTGAAACTGCGTGTTTTGACCTCAAGAACCTCCTTCAAAACTCTGCTAGTATGGAGACAAGTCTGGGAAAGATGGACAAGAAATTTGATAGTTTGCAAGAAACACTAACCACAGCCTCAAGAAGCTTGGCTCCTCTGCAGTCCATGTCCATCGCCGCGAAAGCTATGGATGCAAAAATCAACCGTGCTGTTTTGCCTGCTCTTTCACTTCTGGACAGCTTCAGACTCTCGGAGTCTCTCCAACGCAAGCTTCTCGACATTTCCTCCAAGTTATCCAACGAGACAAAGCCTAAAAAGAGGCTCAAACGCCTCAAAAAGTATGTGGAATGTGTGGACAAACTGAAGACGGCGATTGATTCTATTAGTCAAGAATGTGAGCCGGCCATTCAGAAGCTTCAGGAGGTGGTGGAGTTCTTGAGTAGGACTAAGGCTACCGATCAGTATAGGAGGCATAGATTGAGAGAGACCTTGATGACTCTGAAAGCGCTGTATGAGTCAGAGGTTGATGCTATGAGGTTTGATGGGTTGCTTGATGAAGCTTTACTCAATCTGCAGGATGAGTATGAAAGTTTATTGCAGCGATTGAAGCATCAGAATATTGGGGAGGCGCAAGATGATGATACAGCTGAGATTATGGCTTCTGATTTGGGTACGGAATTGGAGGTTGAAGTTCTCAAACAAATATCGGAGACTCTTGCTGCCAATGATTGTTTGGATATATGTATCGATATCTTTGTGAAGGTGAGTGTAATCTTTCCTCCAATACCTGTTATCAGTAGATAATTACTTGTTTCCTGTGAGATCATGAAGTTTAAATTTGTGAATGAGCACATATTACAAGGATATTGCAGAATTAATGTACAATATAAGATTATGAATAGGAATACGCATCTTAGTACGCTTATTAGACATATACATAATAAACATATCTAATAACTTAATCAGTTTATAATTAACATGAAAATTCTTCAAAACATGTGATGAATTACTAATGATGCATATCATGCATGTTTGAAATTTTATGTTAAAACAAAAACACCGTTCATCCTAGAAATTAGATGCATGTATGTCAAATGAGTATTTAGTTGTTCAGATATGTCATTGAGCTTGAAGATTTTGACAAATTCAACTCTCATATATATTTTCATATTCAATTCAAATACACAAACCCAAATCCATGTTACACACATAACATCAAGCATTCTTGGAATTACACCATTAATCAAATGATCATCAACATATTGCTTTGGAACTACTAATTCAGATTAATCACTATATTGAATTGGAACTACTATTTCTAGCTTGTGCTTCCTTCTCTTGTTCAGCTCTAGTCTATATTTCACTCGGAGTCCACTGTAAAGAACCAACTGTTGTGTCCGGATATCCCATTATCAGAAGAGTGGAGAATCTGGTGGTAGAGACTACGAATTCAGACTCATGGGCATCACAGCCCCTTTGTGAGTGTTTGAAGAGACTGAATTCAGACTCCAAATCATTATGTATATACCCTTTTCTTCTTGTTGGCATTGAAATGCAGAGTTAAAGTTGGGGCTCATAACATACAGACAATGGGACATCCCAGTCAGAAATTAAAGTACTATATTAGACAGTAACCATGCTAACCAACAGAATATAGCTAGTATTTGATCAATTGAACAGTTGGTTGCAGTTACATACCTCGTGTCTTAGGAAACATATCTGATACCTTGCACTTGGGAAACATATCTGATAACTTGAATGAGTTTATAATGATCATGAAAATTCTTCAAACCAATTGATGTACTAATGATGCATGACATGCAAGTTTAAATCTTAATGCTAAACAAAAACACCGTTTATAGTTTCTTTTTTTTCCCAGCCATTTATCCTTGAAAGTAGATACATATATACATATATGAATATGTACAAATGTACAATGAATATTTAGTCGTGCATATGTGTTGTTGATCAAATTCAACGCTCACATATTTTTCATATTCGAACACATAAACCCGAATCCAATTATCCAGGTAACACATATTAAAACCAAGCATTCTTGGAATTACACCATCAATCAATTGAGCATATTGCTTTGGAACTACTAATTCGGATTCATCACTATATTGAATTGGAACTACTATCTATATAGTGTGTCTAGCTTGTGCTTCCTTCTCTCGTCCTCTCCTGCAATTTTCATCTCTTAGTCCAAATTTTTACTCACAATCCACTCTATAAATAGTGTCCGGATAAACCTTTTTTTTTTTTTTTTAAATATTGGCAAGAGACTCGCTCACACACCAACTATACCCTAAGGGGACTTAAACCCTCGACCTTGGAAGGTGAGAAACCACTAGTCTACTGTCCTTGGTGCAGAGAGTGTGAATGTGGACTCCAAATCATTTTCCTTATTAGAAATAGATCATAATGTATATACCCTTTTCTTCTTGTTGGCATTCAAACGCAGAATTAACTTAGCTAAGGTTAGGGGCTCATAACAGACAGACCATGGGACATTGTAATGCATGCATAATAAATTTCTTTGAAGTGAAATGCTGAAGTCAGAAAGTACTATATATAGACACAATCTAGCTAGTATTTGATCAATTGAACAGTTGGTTCTGTTACATACCTTGTGTTTTCCCAAACAGTCCCTGAAGTTGCAATCTTTTTTATTCATTCACAGGTGAGGTACAAAAGAGCAGCTAAAGCACTAATGAGACTAAACCCAGACTACCTCAGAACATACACTACAGAAGAGATCGACGAAATGGAATGGGAAACCTTAGAGACGGCAATAACCCTTTGGATTCAACACTTCGAACTGGCAATCAAAACCGTCTTCGTATCCGAAAAGAAGCTCTGCAACCAAGTTCTGGGTAACCTCATGGACGGAGTCGTATGGCCGGAATGCTTCGTCAAGATCGCCGACAAGATCATGGCCGTCTTCTTCAGGTTCGGAGAAGGCGTAGCCAGGAGCAACAAAGAGCCTCAAAAACTCTTCAAACTCCTCGACATGTTCGACTCGCTTGAAAAGCTCAAAACCCAATTCTCAGAAATCTTCCAAGGCGAAGCCGGAGCTGATATCTGTCAACGATTCAGAGAACTCGAGAAACTCCTCGTCCACGCTTCCACCAGAGTGTTCTGGGAGTTCGGTCTCCAGATAGAAGGCGACCAAGACGGCCTCCCTCCGCCGCCAGACGGCTCCGTCCCGAAACTCGTCCGGTACGCCATTAACTACCTGAAATACCTCACCGCCGACGCTTACAGCCTCCCAATGGCGGAAGTTCTCCGAACAGAGCAAATGTGGAAAGCTGGGATTCTTTCAAAACCCGAAACGGATGAGAATTTACTAAGAGACGCAATATCAAACACCTTGGAGGCACTCCAAAGGAACGTGGAATCGAAGAGGGTTCGTTACAAAGACAAAGTGGTTTCTCACATATTCACCATGAACACATACTGGTACATTTACATGAGAGCCAGAAACACAGAGCTTGGGAAGCTATTGGGTGAACAATACATGAAGAAGAGGTACAAAGTCGCAGCTGAACAGTCAGCCTACAATTACCAGAAACAAGCCTGGGTGTCACTGGTGCGAAACCTAGACAGAGAAGAGCTGCAGAGGGTTAACAAGGAAGCCATTGGAGCTCTGGTGAGAGTGAAAATGGAGGCGTTCAAGAAGGGTTTTGAAGAGATTTCGCAGAGGCATCGAAGCAGTTACAGTATACCAGATGGGGATTTGAGAAAGCAGATGAGAGAGGCTACATTGAATCTTGTTGTGCCTGTTTATACTGAGTTCGTGAGCTCGTACTCGTGGGTTTTACAGGGGAAGTCTTATTGGTCGCCGGAGACGATGAAGGGGTTGGTGGGCCAGATTTTCGGCGGTGGTGATCGGGTGGGGACCTTGCGGCGAATTGATTCGAATGATCGGACGGAGGGGAGGCACTCGGTGTCGGTGGAAGGGTCTCGTGAGATCAGAGATTTTCGACGGTCCAGATCAAATGCTAGTAATGCATCAAAGCAGTGAAGTTCGGTTTGGTAGTTACATTTTCAAATTGTGTGGGTCCAAATTTATCTTGACCATAAACCAGTTCGAGAAATGTGGAGTTGGATTTGTGAATCGATGTTAAAGAGTGCTGGAGTGAGAACTGTATAGACTTGTTTGGTGTTTGTTGAGAAATTATCAGATGCTCGGGATACATTTATTTATGTGTCACTTTATAACTAATCGGGATCAATCAATGATTTTGAATTCTATTGTAATAATTTTTCGTGTTGGGGGCATATGGCATTGAAAAAATCTAATATAATTTTAAATTATAGGTTAATGGTACACAAATTTTTTGAGTTTACAAAAGCATTGTGAAAATTATTTTAAAAAACAAAACACAAGAAAGAGAACTTTACTTGTTTGAGTTGACAATCAAATTTGATCTTGAGGTTTGGTAAAGTTGAAATTTGAGTATAAGCTTACATCAAATATTACGAACTAAGCTAATTTTAGGTTGCACTCTCAAACTCATTTTGCCATTTTGGAGTCTGAGCTAACTTGAATTTGAGGTTAAAATTAATTAAAAATATTTATAAAAAATAATAGTTTGTAAGGACTAAATGACGTCAATGACATATTTAAATTTGTGTAAAAATACAATTTTATCTCTAATTTTTTTAATGCATTTTATTGTAAAATATCAAAAAAAAATTAAATAAATAAAAATAAATAAATAAGGGCCACCAACATCAAGAACAGTAGTCAATACCATAATTAGAGCACTGGTCTTCATCTTAATGTTTCCGCTTATGGGGTCGTCCTCTTCATCTCAATTTGTACAGAGAATAGTGGGACATAAATAGAGGGAAGGGAAACAGAGTACCGGTTGTACTATTACTAGTTGATTCTTCTATTCGCATTTCTTTTGTTTTGTTGATCATGTTGTGGTAATGAATGCGAATCTTTGTAAATGGTGGATGGAAATGGAAGAGAGAATTACAATTCCTTTCTTCTAAAGATATCATATTTGTTAATTTTTTGTTGACTGGGTAACTAATCTTTTTGTTTGCTCTTCCAAAAAAAAAAAAAATTCCTTGAACATTTGATCTTCATTTCATATCTTTAATCAATTTACTTCTTGATTATATGTGTGTACATAATATATATACACATAAAAAATATAATAAATTTGTACTCACACATCCTGAGGTTTGGGTTAACACCATTTAGCGGACGGTCAACGTACTAGCTTATATTGACACTCTTTGAAATTTCAAAATCTTGTATGCACACCCTTCCCAACCTTAAAAAGACTTAAAAACCCTTTAATTAGTATCAACAATTCATTTTTAATTAAAAAATTACCTCAATACCCTTTACCCATTAATCACCCTCTCCTTCGTCCCCTATTCCCAAACGCAGATCCCCACCCCTTCTCTCTCTGCACCCACTGCTCTTCTCAGTGACGGAACCAGGATTTCAAGTGAGGGGGGGGGGCCCACTGCCAAAAAAAAAAAATAATACGGAGTATATATATATATATATATATATATATATATATATAACAACTATTAAATTCAAAAAGACAAAGAAGAAGAAAATTGTTAAAATATAAAAGGAAAGAAAAATGAAAGAACTTTAATAGAAAATAGTTAAAAAGTTTCAATTGAGGAAGAGAAATTTGACTTTTTCTACTAAAGAAATTTAAGGAATGTGAAAAATAAAAGAGAAAATAAAGAAAAAATACGAATATAATTTTAGGAACTACAAATTTAAGGGGGGCACAATATAAATTTTTTCATATATATGGAAATTTTTTTAAAAATTACCATATATAATATAGGTTGCTGGCAACTCAGGGGGGCACGTGCCCCCCCTAGGCCTTTATTGGCTTCGTCCCTGCCTCTCCTTAACCACATTTGCAGCCACCATCTCCACAACCACAACCGTCGCCATCATCTCCTCCTCAACCACAACCTTCGCCATCATCTCCCTCCTCAACCACAACCGCCGCCATCATCTCCCTCCTCTACCACAACCGCAACCACAACCTCTGCCATCATCTCCCTCCTCAACCACAACCGCCACCATCATCTCCCTCCTCAACCATAATTGCCGCCATCATCTCCCTCCTCAACCACATCCGCGACCACCATCGACCCCGATCTGAATCTTCAACGCATCGAGGATGTCTCGATCACCACCGTCGTCGAAGAGAAGAAGATGTTGCCCTTGTAATTGATGGCATTGAGCGATGATAGTTGGTGACTGGTGTGGCGGCGGCAGATTCGACGATCTTGGCCTGGTCGAAGTTGGTGACTTCGACAATTGCTCCACTGCGAAGTTGGGGTGGTGGTGTGGGTGTGACAGTGGTAGTGGCGTTGGTGGTATGGTTTTCTTGGTGGTGTGTGTGGCGGCAGTTATGGTAGTGTGTGAGGTCAGAGTCCGATTGGTGGTTGTGTGGGTTTGGAGGTGGTTGCGGTGTGTATGGGTATGACTGTGGTCGTGGCGTTGTATGTGTAGCTGCGGCCGTGGCGTTGTGTGTGTAACTGTGGTGGTGTGGGAGGCGGTGGTTGTGGCGGTGTGTGTTTGTGTGTGGGTGTGGCGGTGGTTGAGAGGGGATTATAGGGTTATTTTTGTCAATTATAATGTCTTATATGTTTTTAAGGATAAATATGACTTTTGAAACCTCACGGGATGTCAATGTAAACTAGTTCGTTGTTCGTTGAATGGCGTTAATCCAAACCTTAGGGGGTTTGCGTACAATTTACCCTAAAAAATAATTGTGAATTTACAAGGTCAAAAAGGTATTCAAGTCATTTTAATCATTTTTGTAAGTCAACATAAAATAAAAAAGGTAGCAATGTGTAATAGGTGTGCGCTTGCCCATTTACCCAAAAGCTTGAACTGTTGGGTAGTGCTGCATACCTACCCATTTATACCCATATTACTTCCCATCCGGATCCGATGTGGGACAAGTCTCCCCTTGTAACATTCTCCCCCACCCGAACTCGCAACGCCCTCGTTGCGGTCGGGCCACCCTGCCTACCCGGGGTGGCTCACCCGGAAGCCTTTCAGGTCGGGTGCTTAGCGTGACACCAGATCAAAGAACAGGTCTGGCTCTAATACCAACTGTAACGGGTAGGAACTTGCCCATTTACCCAAAAACTCGAACTGTTTAGTAATGCTGCATACCCACCCATTTATACCCATATTACTTCCCATCTGGATTCGATGTAGGACAAGTCTCCCCTTGTAACATAATGTTATTGTACATGCAAAAAGTGCTCTGACACCGCTGAGTAAGTGAAAAAGGCAATATTTGATCAAACTTAAAAAGGGTGAAATTAACCCTAAATATAATTGTAACTCTGGTCAAATGTGAGCCGCACTTGATTCAACTACTCATGTGCATTTGTTGCAACTATATTTCTAAATTTAATATTCTTCATTTAATGAGCTTTGAATTCCAACTAAAACTGGGACTAGTTTGTTTAGTAAACCAGTTCAAAATTCAAATTGAAGTAATTAAGCTGGCCTGAGTTGTTTGAGGACAACTGGACTCATTTTGCAACTTCCCTATATCAGTTAGGTAATTATAGTTAAAAGTCAAATTTCTTTAAAAGTTTAGTCACATTATTTCTTTAGCATAATATAGCTAATTGTATGGTTTAATAACAATCACCTTCTAATGCAAATTTTTTTTTTTTTTTTATTTCATATGTTTGATTACGAAGGGTAAATTACATTTAACCCTCCTTGATTTGTAACATTTTGCAGTAAACTCTTTTTAATTTTTAATTTTTATCAAAAAAACCTCTTCAACTAATCAGAGGGTTAGTTTTACTAAAATACCCTCACCAAAATTCAGGAGTGAGTTTATTGCAATTCGACCAATTGTGTGAATTTAGATAAAATATATTTTTTTCTATTTTAAATAATAATATTTGAACTTATATTTTTTCCCACTATACTTTTAATTAAAGAATATTATAAGAAATAAAAATAGAAATAGAAATTTATAATTTTGAATGCAATTAAATGTTATTTCTTTAGCATATGTCTAGCTTAGCTAAATCCTGCCTCCTTAATTCTTTTTGGTTTCTATCAACCAAACAAAATAAGAGAAAAGCCCATTAGTTTATGCCATTCAAATTTTTTTTGTAATTAAAATTTATTTTTGTCAATCTAATTTTTTTTTTTTTAATTAAATGTTCATCTCATAATCATATACTTATATATACGCATTGTATTAAAAAAAAAAAATAGTATATATAATATATAATATGAGTAAACATATAAGATTTGAAATTATATGTAGTTACACTCATAACTATGAATTTTATTTTATTTTATTTTATTTTATTGATATTTTTCTTTAATTAAAATATGGTGCTGCATGCAACATAAAATGTAAGTTCAAATATTATTCAAAAAAAAAAAATTTAAACTAAATTCACATAATTGAGCAAATTGCATAAAATTTCCCTTTGGTGGGAGTATTTTTGGCAATAAGTTAAAAATAAACCAATTTTTTGAAAAAATAATTTTGAAGGAAGGTTTATTACAAATGCTATGAACACATAATTGAGTGAATTGCATAAAATCCCCCTTTACTTGGTGGGGGTATTTTTGGCAATTAGTTAAAAAAAAATACAAATCTTTTGAAAAAATAAATTTTAAGGAGGGTTTATTACAAACACTACGAATTGAGGTAATAGGCCCCACTAATTCTTTTATTTTTTATTTTTTATTTTTTTAAAAGTATTGTATAATAGTAATTTTTCCTTTTTGTGAATTATATACCTATGAAAAATAATGTTAAAACCTAAGTTATATCTTAAAGGGAAAATTCTATTTAAAATAAGGTCAAAATTTTATAATATAAAATTAACTTATTGCAAACGTTGAATACTTCAAGTTAGTCTTTGAAAATTCACATATTTGAATTAGAATTAAAATAAAAGAAAAACTAATATGATGTTTGAACTAATATGATGTTGAATTCTAATTTAAGAACTCGATTTCATAATCCGAATGAACAATCCGAGTGATCCAATTAGTTCAAGAAGACCCGCTAAACATTCTAAATTGCAATTGGACTCCATTTGTAATGTCATTGCCGTTAGTAAACTTTGAAACTAAGGATAAATAATACGAACACCAACATTTGTTGTCACTTTTTTATATTTTAAAATAAAAAGTTAAGAGTTTAAATTCTCGTGATTGCGGTGTGTTAGTTACTTATCAATATAATTTATTAAAAATAATAATAATATAAATAATAGTATAATACATCACAACCCTTCTATGTTTATCAATATAGACATGCTCTCTTAAGGCATTTCTCATGCAACTGAATCGGTCTTCTACTTGCAGCCATATTACGTATTACATCTTAAGTGGCAATTCCCACGAAATCTCCATTAAGAAATTATAATGAATTATTTAATTTTTTTTATAATTATATAGTATTATTTTGCCAATGCCATATGATATGACCTATACAATAAATAAATTCAATTTTCATATTAAGACATTCGGTCCTGCACCCTCTCTGCTGCATTTCTATTCTGCAATTGGGAAGAAGGCATGGATCATTGTGTCAGGTAGTACACAGTCAGTTTAGAGTGCATTAATTATTTTAAAAATATACTTAAATTAGAATTAAAAATTCTATAGACAAAACACAATGGTCCAACGAATCAAATATAATATAATTATTTTAAATATATATTTGCACCGAAAAATTTAGCAGAATTGTTTTATAATATTTTATTCATCATTAATACATAAATGAGATAAAAAAGTAGAGGGTCCACTTTCTTATATTTGATATTCATTAACCAAGATTTAACAATTTTGTCTAACTCTTCAATGCAGAGATATTATTATTCTTATTTTTTATATACATGTATGTGTTTTTATTATCAGTGGTATTTCCACCTATTTTAAAGTAGACTATCAAATTTTCTTGAACAAGTCAATGTTGTCAAAAAAAAAAAAATATTGATATCTTTAGTTTTTTTTTTTTTTATAAGGGCAATGACATAAGTATAAATGAGTAAGTATATAATACTATCCAACAATTTGAAATTTTGAGTAAATGGGTAAATGCTCACTTATTACAATTGGTATCAAAATCAGACTCAGTTTCGGTTGAGTCCGACAACAATGATGGTGTTTCATGAGTTCAAGTGGGAGAGATAAAAAGTGACATGTATATAAATAGGTGAATAAATGAATAAGCGCTCAATCATTAATATTACTAATATTAATCCATTCAAAGAACCATTAGTCAACCCTATTCTAGATCCGCCCTTCCCAGTGACTGCATTACTTTTCAAATTTTCCCTCTTTTTTTTTTTTTTTTTGCTAAATATCTAGTTTCAATCTTCAAAACATATCAGCAATACTTGTCAAATCCACTTCCATGTGCAATCTTCAAAACATATCAGCAATACTTGTCAAATGCACTTCCATGTGCCATGTAGTCGCCATAGACTTTATTAGTTTCCGGATTGAGACCGACCATTCACGGTACTGTTGGAGTGGGTCCCATGTTTGGGTCGCACATCAAATATCTCTATTCAATCCGAATCTAAAAGAGTATTTCTTTTTTTTCTTTTTTTTTTAAAGTTACGAAATGTAATAGACTTATTTAGTGGTTTGATCTATCAGACAATTTGATGGATATATCGTATCAGTTATGAATTTTTTTTTATTTTTTATTTATTGTAATTTGATTTTGTAAAAAAATAAATTAATATTAAAAGAAAAGGAAATTTAGATCTTTATTCTTTGTAAAAGAATTTTAAAAAAAGTGTAAGAGAAAATAATTATGAAATATTTTGATGACATACATTATAAATATTATATATTATAACTTAATAATAAATATTTAAAATATTATATAATATGTTATGTTGAATAGAATTAACGATAATTCATATTTGATTTGTTTAATTAATTAATTATTAAATATAAATTATTAATAAATTATTAGACTAAGTTTTACCTAATTATGGATTGAATTCGGATAAACACGCAGAAACTTTTGTCAATGAGGAGCTTTTGGGGGCGCGAATCCTCTATAGTGTGGTTCCTATACAGTTTCTTACAGTAGCTTTTAAATGGTTCATATATGGCCACATCATTATGCGTGTTTATCCGAATGATGTGGCCATATATGAACCACTTAAATAATAAAGGTTGTTGACAACTAAATTAACAAAATAAACCTTTTTCACCTTTAAAATAAGGTATGCACATAATACAGATTAAGTAATATCACATATAAACGTAACTCAATTCAACATATCATTTATATTATTATCTGAAATTAAAGTATTTTAAAAACACTTAACATGTTAATTTAAAGAATTTAAACTAAAATTAAAGTCACTTGGATTAACTTTAGACAAGAAACAAAACACTTGATGTTTCTAAAAATAATGAAAAAAGTCACAACTTTTTTTTTTTTTTCCTTCCAAATATTAAAAAAGCATACAGTTAGGCATAAATTATTTAATATATTTAAAAAAAAAAATAGACAAATTTAATATTAATTGTCACACTCACCACCTTCACTATGAAAAGAAAAAATTTGATAAAATTTAATATTAATTGCCACACTCACCACTTTCACCATAAAAAAAATATATTTACATAATGTTAAAAAATTAATAGTTACACTTAAATCTAATTTAATTCAATATGATGATGTTATATTCTTTTATATATATATATATATATATATATATATTACCTAAGTGTTGATGCTCCTTTTTATAAATGATGATTTTACTTTGTAGTGTAATTGCTAAAGGCAGACTTAATATCTGTTTTATGAAAAAATATGTGGGCAAACCAAAGCCACTAGAAAGTGGACAGCACTGCAGGAATAATTACATCGATTGGAGTCCGGAGCTTTTGTCCCAAGCTAACAACGATAGAACATAGCAAAGGATAAAAATGCCACACTAACACGGCACTTGTCATGTGTCTCTCGCACTCTCACATCCAGTGCGGCATTTTCTTCAATTTCCCTATTTATAAATCCAACTCAATCCTACAACCCCCATGAATGTACGCACCACAGAAACCATACTTTCCGATCTCCCAAACACCATTTTTCTCTCAATTCCTTTCTCTCCCTCGAAACCCATGGCAGAATTCAGTGACCCAAACAGAGTGGTCCCATTTTCGTTCTCCGATTTACCGGAGGACGTTCAGCTCTGTATTCTCTCATTCCTCTCCCCTTCCGACATCTCCACCTTCGCTTGCACGTCGAAACGTTTCGTCCATCTTTGTGGAAACGACAACGACAAGCTCTGGTTCTCCATTTGCGACCGCAAGTGGGGCTCCAAGACCCAAATCAACAAATGGGTTAATACGTCCAAAATCACCTACAAACACGTCCACAAAATTCTGATCCACTACGAGAGCCTCATCGGGTTCTGGCGCCGTACCGGCCAGCCCAACAGCACCGGCAGCAATTCGGCGCCGCTCGTGTTCTTCGAATGGGGACCTTCTTTTGTCTCTGGCTCGACCGTTTCACCGTCGAAGACCGGCACTTATAGAGTAACAAAAGCTCCGTTTTTGTGGTTGAGTATTGGTCCTGAAGGTGAGCCACTGAATTTTCTCTACCCGGAGTGTAAGCTGGAATCATCCCACGATTTGATTCCGGTGAACGTTAGTTTTGTGGGGAATAATCACGTGGTTGTGGAGGACAGTCTGAGGCAGAGGAAGAGTGAGAAGGAGAGGCCGCCGGAGCATTTTGTGAAGGTGGTTGATTGTTCTCCGACGCTGTCTCGGCCATTGCAGGGCTTATGGAAGGTGGTGATGCTTTTGTTCTCTACTTATTCGTTTAATTCTTCTACATATGTTTCTTGGAAGTTTACATGTTAGTATTACTCTTTGTGATGCACTTGTATTTTTGAACATTTTTACCTGCTCCATACATTGCTCTACCAAGGGCATTTTCCCGTGGTCAAATTAGTACGGTGCTAACATTTTTAATTGGGTGTGCCCGTGTTTGAATCTCTTACTCCTAATTTGCTAGAAAAGAAAATACATTGTTTTTTAATATACAAACGGCGTCAACGTACCAGTCACAATTTCTTTTCTTGAGGTTTAAATGATATCTGTGTAGTAGTTGCAAGTATTCAAAGTTTATAGCCACTTATATCAAAAGCCACCAGACTAAAGGGGTTTCGATACATATAACCGAGTCCATATAATACCGAGAAAAATACATACCTTTACTTTTTAATTAGTTGCTAATGTTTTCAATGATTGTCCTTGTCTTTTCTTTTTTCATATGTAATCTAGTAATTGTATTGGTAAAAAAAAAAGTGCTTGGATTGGAAGATGTAGAAGTAAACGAGTCGTCATTTGACGCTCTCTGATCTGCAGGGTATTGGCAATGACATGAACTTGAATTTTTATGTTGTGGAATATGATGATATTGGGGGCATTTCATGCCGAAGGATTTGGGACGCCTCTAAACCTTTCTCAGATTCTTTTCCAGTGTTCTGGACACCAGAAACAGAATTCATGGAATTTCCAAATTCCCCCGAAGAAGAGTACTCATACTATAAACGCGTACATCTTCATCCTCTTGCTTCAGCAGATGGAGTTCGAAGCCAATCTTGGACCGGAAATGAAACAGTCTCTCGCATTCTTTACATCAATTCAAGTTTTGATATGATGATTCGAGACTTGGTGGGAATTTCCGGTAACACGCAGCATGTACAAGGAATGATATGGCTGTATGAGGATGGAACATTCGGGTATGGATTTCTCAGAGATAATTACATCATACACTTGAATCATGTTGCTCGAAATGGTTGTCTTCTTGATACAGTAGAGCTTAATGGTTGTCTTCTTGATACAGTAGAGCTTAATAGTGATTGAAACCCTTGCATAGCTAACATCATTTGCGTATGTTTTGGGAGTATCGAGGATGTAGTACTCGGGTCAATAATTAGTTATTATTTCTAATATCAAGAGAAATCGTGAATATTCATTGAACCACGAGAGTCGGTACTCCGAGTATTCAATGTTTTTCCAGTGTTTGTTGTTGATGACAGTAATGCCACCATGTACATATTTGTAATGGATGTAATAATAATGTAAAAATTTAAAATACAATCAGTTCATGTTGTTTCTACTTAAGAAAGTGCTGATCATGTTTGTTATACTGTCTTTAAGAACGTTATATTGACCCGCTATAAAGGGTATATTTGAAATTTCATTACCTACCATTATTATAAAAAAATATATTAAAAATTAAAATTCTCAAAAAGGGACATTTTTATTTTTTGGAAAAGAGGGAGTAAATAAAAATATTGGTCCATGATTCAATTTTTACATTAAGGCTCTGCTTTTTTTTATGTAAAATATTTTTTAAAATTTTTTATTTTTTGGTGCGTGGTTGTTATAAAATATTCACAAAAACAAATTATTAAAATTTAACAAAAATAACTTACTTATCAATTTTCGACAAGTTATTTTACATCTCCGGCCAAATGAACTCAATCTCAACCTCTACCTGCACCTTTACCAAATACAGAAAAATAAAAAAATATTTTATGTGAAAAAGAAAATCTTTCTTTAATAAAATATTTTACGTCGAAATAAACGGAACTTATCATTTGTTTGGACGTAAAATATTTTTCAGAAAATATATATATTTTTTTCTGGTGTTTGGTTATGTAAAATATTTACGAATAAAAAAATATTAAAATTTAACAAAAATAACTTATCTATCAATTTTCGGTAATTTATTTTACATGCCCCGCCCGATTGACTCGACCTCAATCTCAACGTAGACTTTTGTTAAATACCGACAAAGTAAAAATGAAAATATATATATTTTACCTGAAAAAAATATTTTATGTCAAAACTAATAGAGTAAAAAGTTTCTAGCTAGAAAATTGAGTTGAGAGATTAGCTAGATTAAGTGGAAAATAAGAACTTGGCATGGTATACTCAATGGTAAGATTTAAATTTATTGAAGCAGTAGTACAAAAATGTAAGTCTTTTTTATAAATATATATTATATAAAGCGAGAAACAACAAGCAAGGGCATTTGGTCTAGTGGTATGATTCTCGCTTTGGGTGCGAGAGGTCCCGAGTTCGATTCTCGGAATGCCCCTTTTTAAATTTAAAAAAACCATAACACGTTTTGCCTTCAACTACCCCACCGGTACACCATCTAGAAGTTGGAATAATTAATTATTTACCATTTTAATGAGTCTCCAAGTACCTTACAATAATTCATTTTCTTTTTGTCTTTATCCGGAATAAAACACCCTCATGATATGTATTATATATATGTTATATAATTCCCTTCCCAGGAAGTCAAGCAACCATTAATTTCCATACAGAAGCTTCCATTACCATATTTACTCAACTTTTTATTTTATTTTATTTTTATTTTGCTTAGATGTGGACTTCAACAGAGACCCTGCTTATAAGGGCTTTGTGGTTCACCAATCTTTCAACGAAGACTGAAAATCAATCCAAAAACATTAACATCCCAAACCAAACACCATTTCTGTATCACTCCATTTTCCGATGTTCAATCCCTTCATTTGTGGCACATTTCATCATCTAGAAGCAGAACACGATGATGACGACGAACCTCGGAGCTCAACTCCACCACCAAGAAAGTGCAGGAAAACCATGATCATGATGAGCATATGCAAAAGCAGAGCTAGCGAGAACCCGTACGCCAATCACGGGCTCGACAAGTTCTCTGCACTTCTAGCTGATCTCGACAATAAGAGGCGAGAGATATACGCGCAGGTGGGCTCACAACACATCTCTCTTGTTCGCTTCGCGTATTCGAGCTCAAATGACTGCAAGCCGATTGTTGTGAAGGTGAGAGACAAAAAACAAGACATAACAACCCATGTCAAAGATGAGCCTATAACACATGATGTGAATGAAGTGCAACAACCAGGAAGCATGTTGAGAGATCTGAAGGGTAAGGAGAGATTCTCATGGAGTTCAAAGTTCACAGTGATTGTAGTCTTGATCTTGTTGTTCTTGGCTGTGTTTGGGCGATCGTTTGTGATTTTGTGTATATCTATTGGGTGGTACTTGGTCCCTACCATAGAAGGAGTGAGCTACAGTTCAAAATGGCCATGGAAGAAGGAGGGGTATTTTGGTAAATTGAGAGGAAATAAGCTTAATTAGTGGGTAAACTCCTAGATATGTTGTTACTTAGACCTTATGCTTTGTTTTGAATTTCTTCTCTTACTAATTGTGTTTTTCTTGGCTGTATTGGGTTGGATTGAAAATTCAATCTCTCTTTTACATGTTCATCATCAGTGTAAATTACACAAGTAATGGAAAATGAATCATGATTTTGTAGCATTATAGTAAATCTTGCTATTTCTTGAGAGTTGAAGAGAATATGAGTGGTTAGTGACCCCTGCGTGGCATTAAACAAATGGTAGTTGACTTACATTGAAAATTTCTTAATTATTATTATTATTATTTTTATTCTGGCAAGAGAACCGCCATGCCATACGGCATCTACATGGCAAGAACATCAAACATAAAACAAAGAAACACATACACAGATAACAATCTAAAGCAAAACTAACACCCACTAATTTCAAGATCACAGCCTTGATAATAACCTAAAACTATAAGGTGTCAGCATAGCCAAGGACCGAGCCCACCAACAGACAGTAGTTACCGTAGCACCAAACAATGCAAACTGTCTGTGGCTGCCAAATTAAGAATATCCCCGGGAATATGAACAAGAGCAAGATCCCCAGGAATATGACGTCGGGAAAGCTTTGCAATAGCGTGAGCAACTTCATTGCAAGTTCTATAGACATAGCTAATGCGAGAAAAGTTAAATCGCCGAAGCGCCACTTGAACATCAAATACAATTGGATGAATTTCAATCGGCCCAGGAGCAACACCCGATACAGCCTGAATCACATTTAAACCAAACCTGTGAAAGTGAAGAAGAAATAACACAAAGAACTGCTTTTCAAAGGCAAATGGCCTCAACGAAGGTTGCACTAGCAGCGGGAAAGAGAGAAAACACCACTTTCTACATTTTAGTTCCCCTAGAGTCGCGAAAGACAGCAACACTGATGAGCGGTGAAAAGTGCGCATTTAAACCCCTTAAGCTTAAGTATTCTAGAACCTTTATCTATCTTACTTTCCCGTTTTAGACTAATTTCGTGTTATTGCCCTTTTTAGGTGCTTATCCCCAAAATAAGCTAATTCAGCCAAATAAGAGCTTAAAGAAAGCTAACTCAAGCTGGATGGAAGAAAGGAGCAAAGTGGAAGCAGATTGAAGCAAAGTATGGAATTCAGCAGGTTCGATCGATCACAAGTATATTTCGATCGATTGAAAGTTCTTCAATCTAGACATTTCAAGATGGATCCAAGCTCTTTTGTCGTTATCCAAAGATCCCATAAAGTTCGATCGATCCAACAATTCTCAGATCGATCGAAAAGATTTCATCTTATCCTGTTGTACCACCTCACCTACCACTTTTGTCTCATTCCCCAAAATATCTCAGATTTGTCCTTATCCAAAAAGGTGCTGCCATGGGAGGATCGATCCAGCCAAAGTTTGATAGATCTCAGCCATGTTCGATCGATCTTACCACAAGTTCAATCGATCGAACCCTCTCAAATCCAAAAAAAGACAAAATCCAGCTCATTAAAGGTTGGCTTATAGTGCAATCATTGGAGGAATATTGATGTGCGAGCCCAGACTATTGGGTGTGACATTTTAACCTACCTATATAAGGAATAGGAGCCACTTTTACACATATGCTCACATATGCTTAGAGACAATTCTTAGAGAGGAAGAAAAGAGAAAAGGAGGATAGAGACATTCTTGAGAAGTTTTCCATCTACTTCAAGAAGAGGAGCATTTCTACCATGGAGATAGCCCTTGAGGGTTAGAGGACACCATCCATGAGTGGCTAGACATTCTCTTGGGGCTAGAGTTAGCCCTAAGCATACTTTCTTTATCTTGATTCATGTATTTTTGAGGGGATTTGTGTTGTGATACATGTTTTGACATCTTTATATACATAGATCTTGTTTATTTAATGATTTGTGTGGTTTAATTCTTCCAAATGACCATTTCATTCTATCTATATGTCTATGTATGCTAGAATAGATGTTCATGTGTTTATCTCTATTTCTTGTGTTGTTGATGCATGTCTATGTGTATTAATGCTATAGATCTAGAGATTGTCAAGACATGGTGCCTAATATAATGCTCTTGTGGTTTATTTGATGGTTCATACTCATTTCATGATGGATTATGCCTCTCCCTTAGTCTAATTAGTTTAATTTTTATGTCATTAGCTTAGATGTAGTGTAGTTACTTTAGTTGTTAAATGGAAGGACAATCCATGTTTGTTGTTTGATGTTCCATACTTATGAATGCAAGTAGTATATTTATTTAATTTTGTGATGTGTTTGGATTGTGAGCTTAAAGAAGGATTAATGGTTTACTTTGATATATTGCGCTATTCATTGTGTTGCCTAGACAATAAACACTTAATTGGTCATCCATGTTTGTTGAAACAACCACACACACTCACTCTTGTTGCAACATATGCCTTCCCTCATTAATTGTGAATTGAGTATAGAGAAAAGTGATGCTTAGTGGTGATCTCTAAGTTCCAAGACCTCTCTCTCTTGTTTTCTCTATCAACCAAACAACCTACCTTTGATCACTCGACCTATTAACCCTAAGCCTTGTTTCCACTACTAGTGCACCCTAAATCCCTTGGGACGATCCCTACTCACCCTTGCTATATTTTTAGTTAGTGGTAGTAGTGGCATTTATAAATGTAGAACTTGGCCACACTATTTTGCACAAATTTGGTTGCACACGCGACGGTCACACCAAGTTTTTGACGTCGTTGCCGGGGATTTAATTGGCAACGCCGTGTTTTGGAAACATTCAGGGATTAGTACTCTTTTGATCGTGTCTTTACTTTAATTTTATTTTTGGTTACTTATTGTGTTTGTTCTTATTTGACTAGGTGAAATTGAGTAAGGAGGTTAAGCAAAGGAGACTTCAAAGTAAGGAGCTAAGCTAAGCACAAAAAGGACTAAAAATCTGAAAAATGCAAAGCATTGCAAAGTTTGGAAGTTAAAAATTAATTGAAGTTACTTAAGGAGCCTTTGTGAGATCTTTCTAACTCAAGCTCTAATTAGGTGAAAAATATTGTGCAAGGGTAGTTTGGTTTATTCCAAACAATGTATAAGCCATATCTAGAAGAACATGCAACCAATGACTTGTTGAGATTTTCATCATCTGGTGGTCACCAAGTAAATATATCTCAGGACCATTCAAATCCTTGAGTTCTCAATTCCTAGAGTAGATTTAATCTTGTATCTTTTCTTTTTCTATTGTTATGAAAGGGTCCAATATTTCCTTATCAATTATTCAAACATTCACTTTTATTTAGGGACTCCAGTGAGGCCACGGATATATTTGTAATTTCAGTGTTGAAACATGATACTCTACCTACTTTTATCTAGTAGAATCATATAAAAGCAGTGTAGCTGGCATGAAAAGTTCATTATTGCACTCTTGTCTTGATATGTTCCTATTGGTCAACACCAAGATTCTAGTTTATTTGCAGTTTCCTCCCTTGTTTCTATTCTTCTGGCGACGGTCAGAAGCCGAATGAGGATGAGAGTAGGAGAAGAGAAAAAAGTTGGTAAATCTGGTATGAACAACAACTCTGATGGTGTAGATTGATAGGAAAATGAAACCCAAATATTCCCCGATTTAAGAGTTCTAGCCTCCCATATGCTTCAAATTATCTTTGTGGGGAAAAAAAAAAAAAAAAAAAATTTCTTAAATTCATATGCAGATTTCCAAATGGGTATCTGATGCAACAATTTTGTTTGGATTGCATTAACATCACATTGTCTTTGTAGGTCAAGTTATACGCGAAGTTATGATTAATTCAAGGGAAGAGGTTGCTGATTGCATGCAAAAAGTTGTGAGGCGTAGGGTTATGATTTCAAGTGCAAGGCAGGCTGTTTCTAGAATACTGACTGTTGGTGCTGTTCATGGAGTTAGATATCTTGCAAATAAGATGCACAAGGCTTGGAATTCATGGACACGAACTTGAAATACTGACTGTTGGTGCTGTTCAAGTGCAAGGCATGCTGTCTCTCTTATTTTGGATTTTTTCCTCCTTCCAAGTGGGTTAATTTCTTGTGGACGAAAACCTTGACAAGAGAAGTACAACATCAGCTTGATCTAAAACTAAGGCTAAATGGGCTTTGTCTAGAAGTGCACTGTATTTTTGTCAAACTTTTGAGAGGAAATGAATGATTCCTGTAGGAGTTTTGTATCTTTAATATAAGGATCATTTTCTCTATTTGTATCTTTAATATATGAATCGTTTTTTTCTTTTGGGGGTAAGAAGAATCAAAATTTTTTTTTCTTTAATTTTGTAAATTATATAAGCTTTTTTTTATTTTTTATTTTTATTTTTTTATTTTTAACCTGGCAATTTATTGAGAAAATATTAGCATATTCGGGTTATAATGATTTTTTTAATACCGAGAGTGCTTATCATCTTAGTATCTTAGTCTGAATATTTATTTGGCAAAAAAACATAAAATCCCCCTCAACTATCAAAAATCAGTATTTTACCCCTAGACTACAAAATCGAGCAAGTCAGGGCTACAACGGTCATATTGCAGGGTAATTATGGAATTATTAACTAACACGCTCCATCTGTTAGCCAGAAATGACTGCCAGGGGCAAATTGCACATTTTTTATAGTTGTGGTACTGACTTGTTCGATTTTATAGTGCAAGGTAGTATAAAATATCGTATAAGCAAGGACTATCATTTCAAAAATTAGAATCACCTCTTGACACATTATTTGTACAAATATTCTTCAAACTCAAACTTGTTTTTGAACTCAAATTTTAGCAATGCTTCAAAGTTGGGTAATTTTTTTTTTTTTGGTCGTCTAAAAGCCCGACACGTATTAATAAATACTTAGATATGCTTCTATACTCTTATCCATTGCCCAATCAGTTTATCATTTTGTCCGAAGACATTGTATATTATTATATTTCTAAGAAAAGTTTCAATTGCAACCAACTGTAATAACTACCAATGTCCTAGGGTCGGCCCTGGCCCAAGGCGGTCGCCTTGGGCCTCAAATTTTAGAGGGCCTCAAATTTTGAGTTTGAGGATGGGGGATGGAAAATATAAAAAAATAAAAATAAGTTAGGGCAAGTTTCAGACGACACAATCGGCTTCGAAGTAGAAAGAAGCATATGACGATTCTATGTGATGTTAGTGGAACCATCAAGCCTTGCAGGTGAGTCTGTGCTATGGCCGGCCCTGGCCCAAGGCGACCAAGGCCGTCGCCTTGGGCCTCAGATTTTAGACGGCCTCAAATTTTATGGCCCATAGGGGATGGAAAAAATAAAAAATAAAAATAAGTTAGGGCAAGTTTCAGACGATACAATCTGCTTCGACTCTCCGCAGCCTCCGCTATCGCCTCAGGTGACAAGGTATGTTCATCCTCTCTCTCTCTCTCTTCTCTCTCCTTTTGCGTGAATCGATCTTTTATATATGTTTCTTTCTTTCGTTCATCTCATCATTTGATTTGTTCTAACGGTTTGTTTGATTCGGGCCTTTACCTTTGTTCCAATAGTGAAAAGTAGCTAGGGTTTTGTGTGTCACTGTGTGTGATGGCTATCAAAGGCTGAATGAATGTATTATGGTTCTCTTAGTATTTTAATAAATTTGAGCCTTTCTACATGTGTCTTTCATGGCGATCGAGTCCATAATCTATGGCAGGTACTTTTTTTTTTCCTCTCCCCAAGTCCACTCCAATCTCACAACAGCAGCAACCATACCCCTTTTCCTCATAATTTTTTGTTTTTTCACATTCAATCCCACGAAAATTAAGGATCCCTTCTAGTGGGTTGAGGTAATAATTAACTTTTTCGATCTCTAAATTATGCTCATACTTAAAAGTGCAAAATTTAGGTTTTTATTTTTTATTTTTTATTTTTATATGAAGATACATACCACCATTATTGATGTTATTTGAAGTTGGCTCAGCTAGAATTTCAGTTAATAATACTGTCAAAGCACTTGCCATCAGAATGTACAAACACATGGAAATCAAGAGCAGGCTTTAACAAAACAAAAGTTAATGGTTTTTTCTATTAATTTGCACAGGTCTTCTGTAGCAATGATCAATCAATCACTGCGGGTAATTGGCTCCCAAAAAAAACACACACAAAGTGTAGTGCAGTTAATATAAAGAGTGAAAGGCAAAACTATATATGATAGTGGATGCCACATATAACCTAAAAGTTCCACTACTTCTTCAGTACTACAAGTTCAGCCTCCTATATATATATATTTAGTCACCTCATCTCCACATATTTTTGTCATCTGTTATCATCAAATTTTAGTAGCTATATAAACAATGAATGTAAAAGAAGCTGCAATTTTCTGTTCTCTTCATTTTTTATTTTGTGCCTGTGAAAATTTTGCACTCTTTAATTGATAAATTTATTGTTATTAGTTAGTTGTCTTATGCATACTGCACATGCGCACAATTATTTATTGGTGGTGATAAAAATTTATAGTTATTAGTTAGTTGTCTTGAACACACTGCACAGACGCATAATTATTTATTGGTGGTGATAAATTTATACTTATTAGTTAGTTGTCTTAGGCACACTGTACAAGTGCACAATTATTTGTTGGTGGTGATAAATTTATAGTTATTGGTTAGTTGTCTTATGCACAATACACAGGGGCACAATTATATTAGCTATAGAATTTGAAAACATCGTGTTTTCGCACTCTTATAATTCTTTTTTGCGCTTGTGAAACCCAGGGGCCTCACATTTGGAAGTTCGCCTAGGGCCTCTCAAAATATTTGGAATCTCAGGGCCGGCCCTGCAATGTCCTCCTTGACACAGCCTCTCTCCCCTCTCTCTTTATCCCTGCAACCTTCACATTCCCTCTCTTCCCTCCAAACCCAGCAACCGACTTCTCGAAAACACACTCCTCAACCCACCACCACCAGTTCCATCTCCGCCAAAACCTCTCCAAAACCCAGATCGGAATGGATCGAAGCCCTTCGTTCCCACACCCGATTGAATCAATTCCGAGAAGCTGTTTCCACGTATAACGAAATGACCATGGCCGGTGTCCAACCCGACAATTTTGCTTTTCCGGCAGTATTAAAGGCTGTCACTGGCCTTCAGGACTTGAATTACGGCAAGCAGATCCACGCCGCCATTGCCAAACTTGATTACTGTTCGTCTTCGGTGACTGTGGGCAATACTCTTCTCCATATGTATGCAAAATGTGGAGATATTGGTGATGTGCTCAAAGTGTTTGATAGAATTCCTCAGAAAGACCAAGTGTCTTGGAATTCGATGATTTCTGCTTTGTGTCGGTTTGAGGAGTGGGAGCTTGCATTGGATGCATTTCAGTTAATGCAATTGGAGGGAATGGAGCCCAGTTCGTTTACTTTGGTGAGTATGGCACTTGCGTGTTCTAATTTGAGTAAGAATGATGGGTTGCGGCTCGGGAAGCAAGTGCATGGGTATAGTTTGAGAGTAGGTGATTGGAAAACATTTACGAACAATGCATTAATGGCTATGTATGCCAAACAAGGGAAATTTGATTACTCGAAAGCTATTTTTGAGTTGTTTGAGCATCGGGATATGGTTTCCTGGAACACAATGATAAGCTCATTCTCTCAAAACAACTGCTTTTATGAGGCATTGAATTTGTTGCAGCTTATGGTTCTTGAAGGAATTAGGCCTGATGGGGTCACAATGGCGAGTGTTCTCCCTGCATGCTCCAATTTGGAGTTGTTAGATGTTGGGAAGGAAATTCATGCTTATGCCTTGAGAAATGATGATTTGATAGGGAATTCGTTTGTCGGTAGTGCTTTAGTCGACATGTACTGCAATTGCCGACAGATTGAAAGTGGTCGTAAAGTTTTTGATGGTATCTTAGATAGAAAACTTGGGCTTTGGAATGCTATGATTGCTGGTTACACAAAAAATGGCTTTTATGAGAAGGCCTTAATGTTGTTCTTGCAAATGGTGGAGGTCTCAGGACTTTTTCCTAACCCCACAACAATGGCAAGTGTCTTACCAGCTTGTGTGCACTGTGAAGCATTCTCTGACAAAGAAGTTATGCATGGGTATGTAATGAAGTTGGGTTTCGGAAGGAACCCGTATGTACAAAATGCACTTATAGACGTGTATTCTAGGATGGGAAAGATACTAACTTCAGAAAATATATTTAATAGCATGAAGATTAGAGATATAGTTTCTTGGAATTCAATGATAACAGGTTATGTTATTTGTGGACGCCATGAAGATGCACTTATTCTGTTGCATGCGATGCAAAGAGTTGAAGAAGCAAAGAATGAGGAGAAGGATGAGTATGAGGATGAAAAAGGAGTTCCTTGTAAACCAAATTCAATAACACTCATGTCAATCCTTCCTGGCTGTGCCACCCTTGCAGCATTAGCTAAGGGGAAAGAAATTCATGCTTACGCCATTAGAAATGCTTTGGCATCAGATGTTGCTGTGGGCAGTGCACTGGTTGACATGTATGCAAAATGTGGTTGCTTGAACTTATCTATGAGAATTTTTGATGGAATGCCCAACAGAAATGTGATCACATGGAACGTGATCATCATGGCTTACGGGATGCATGGGAAAGGAGAAGAAGCCTTAGAACTTTTTAGGAGTATGGTGGCAGACGGAGCTAGGGGTGGGGAAGTCAGGCCTAATGAGGTTACATTTATTGCAATTTTCGCTGGATGTAGTCACTCTGGGATGGTAAAAGAAGGCCGTAACTTGTTTCATAAAATGAAAGATGACTATGGAGTTGAGCCTACAGCAGATCACTATGCTTGCGTTGTTGACTTGCTTGGTCGAGCAGGTCAGCTGGACGAAGCTTATCAACTCATTAAGTCGATGCCTCCTGAAGTTGACAAAATAAGCACTTGGAGTAGCATGCTTGGTGCTTGTCGAATCCATCAAAATGTAGAACTTGGGGAAATTGCAGCGAAGAATCTCCTTGAATTGGAGCCAAATGTGGCTAGCCATTATGTTCTACTCTCTAATATCTACTCATCTGCCGGACTCTGGGAGAAAGCAACAGAGATTCGAAAGAACATGAAGGAAATGGGAGTACGAAAAGAACCCGGGTGCAGTTGGATTGAGTTTGGCGATGAGGTTCATAAGTTCATGGCTGGGGATGCATCACATCCACAAACCGAGCAGCTTTATAGCTTCGTCGAAACGTTGTCAGAGCGAATGAGAAAAGAGGGTTATGTTCCTGACACTTCTTGTGTTCTACACAATGTTGGTGAGGTGGAAAAGGAGAATCTACTATGTGGGCATAGTGAGAAACTAGCAATAGCATTTGGTATCCTCAACACGCCTCCCGGCACCACCATTAGAGTTGCCAAGAACCTTAGAGTCTGCAATGATTGCCATGCTGCTACCAAGTTTATTTCAAAGATTGTAGAGAGGGAGATTATTGTGAGGGATGTGAGGAGGTTCCATCATTTCAAGGATGGAACCTGCTCCTGTGGGGATTATTGGTGAGGACGCGTCCAAACCAATGTTTTCCAACATTAAGGGAAAAGTTTTCAGGAGATTCAAATACCAACAAGCTGTAACATAACACTGATCACTTCATTTGTATTATCAAGATTAGTATGTGCAAATTTATTTATTGGCAAGCAGTTTTTGTAGCTTTAAGTTGTGAAATATAAGGAATATCACATATTGGGAGGGCTATTGGAGTAAATGCTTTGCTGTAGCTCTTTGTTTCCTGCAATCTGTGAAATGTGGATGATCAATAATGCTTTTCTCAAAATTTGGATGTCTCAGGCTCAGTTCTTTTTTATTTTTGAATAAATTGAAAGGTAGCAATGGTCAACTGTTCAATAAGTTACTATACAGTAAGTAATAGTCCTTCGAATATTTTGTTTGGACAAATTGAAACCCTTGTTGTTGCACGACCACAATACCTACAAAAAATTAAAATTTAGAGTAAAAATATAACTAGTTTTTGTTAGATTATTCCTATAAAATCCTTTGATAACATTTTAAATAATATTCGATGGTCGAAATCATGATTCGCAGTATCGGTCATGGTTGCGATATAACGGACGCGGACAAAGGCAGTGTAAACTGGCCGATACAAATCACGTATCAGACTTGAAAAAGAGTCGCGGCGAACCATGGTCCAAATAATTGGTTAATTCAGTTATTACATTTTATAGTTCATTGATACATTCTTTTTATGAAGCACATTCTCTCAAATTCTTAAATAATGAGCATCAGATGTGTGTCGAGATGACGAGTGCCACATTGTCAGGAATCTCGGATACCCAATAATTTCTCTTATATCAATTAGTGAATAGTGACTAAAAGTGAAGCACATAATATGCGCGCGCGCGCGCACACACACACACACATATATATATATATTAAAAAAAAGAACCCCTTTGATTAAATTTTCAAATAACTATCACTTCCAGCTTCTCCTTTTTCAAGTTGTTCCCTAATGTGGCATTGAAATACGAACTCTTTTTTTTTTTTTTTTTTTTTTTTTCTAGTTAAGGAATTTCTGAGAATATATTATGAAAAAATAATAAAATTATTACTCCGTCTTTCTTTCGTCTTTCTTTCTACAAGCTTCAAAAACAAAAATAAATAAATTAAAATAAAATAAAAAACAAGCAGAGGCACTTGTTTTCATCAATCTTATAATTTTTACTTGCGCGAGATGCGAAAAAAATCTCCACGACTATCAATCCCTCTTGTGATATCAATTTTGGCTTTTGACAACTTTTCCATATAAAAATAAAAAAATTGGCTTTTGGCCCCCTCAACTTACATAAATACGCGGAGTGGGCTATAAAAATATAATTCCCTTGGAACATAAGTGAGTATGAGTGGGAAAATAAAAGAGCCGAATGTTTGTCTAACAGTTCAAACTTAGTTCGATAAAAGTTCGGGTAGTGTTAGTTTGATTAGTAAACGAACTAATCTCAAACAAAATTTTCAAACTCGTTTCGTAAACGAATTAATCTCAAACAACCATCAGATCGGCTCAAATACGTTCACAAACAAACTCGTTTAAAAACTCGTTGGACAGGGGCGGAGGGAGGGGTGGGCCAGCAGGGACCTGGCCCCCCCAAAAATATATATATATATATATATATATATATATATATATATATATATATATATATATATATATATATTTTATTAGTATACATATATATATATATAGATATATATATGATTTACTACACCTGGCCCCCCCACCCCCAAAACATTCAGCTGAATCAGCCCTCAAATTAGGGCACCGCGCACAACCAAAATTTCCCTCCTCCCTTCCCTCTTGCCCTAACCCTCTGTTCTTCACCTTCTCCTGAATCTGCATTCTCCTCCACCTTCAGGCTTCACACAAACTGACAATCTGTTGGACCACCACTTTGCTGAGGATGCAAATTGCAATCTAGGACATGGTCTGGGACTCTGGAAGACTATCGAAAAGGTCTTTTTTTATTTTTATTTTTTATTTTTTTTTTCCGATTTGCCATTCTCTCTGTTTTTTGTTCTTGCTATTTGCCTTGCGATTTGCCATTGTTGCTATATTTCTTCATGATGAATGAAGTTGATTATTTGAAATTTTGCTTTATTTCTCCTTTTGATGGAATTCTTTTCCAATTTTTATTCTGAAATTCAACATCTGAGCTTTAAATGTGAGCTATGTCTAGTCTGATTTTTATTTTTTGCTGTGGTTTTCCAGTGAGAGAGAGTTATACATTTGAGGGGAATTGAACTACAAATCAAAAACATGATGATCTCTTTTATATGAACAGAGAAGTATGGTCTTTTTGTCAACAACAAATTCTTGCCTGGAACTATTTAATAGATTATATATATATCTTGATTCCATTCCATGTCTTTGATGCACAAATTAGAAACAGCTTTTTATGTTAAAGGACTTGAAGTTTACATTTTTCATGAATGCACGCTACCCTGTTTCAGGCCTTGCTTCAGGCTCTTTTTTTTCTTTTTTTTTTTTTTTTTCCCGGAAAGTGCTTCAGGCTGTTTTTGTTTATATATCAATTATGCATATCATATGTTTAACCCTCAGGATTTAGAACTGATGCAATATATAGTTATATACTTGCACCATGTCATATACCAGTATTAGTTATAAACACAGATAAAACTCAAAATCTTTTGAAGTCATTATTTATTAAATAAAAACCAACATGGTGTAAATACCATGTCTTTTTACAATCTTCCAAAATTTTTTTAGGAATAATTTGTTGTTCTTGTTGGTTTTGATTAGTGAAGTTAATGAGGATATAGCATTTTTACTTGATAAATGCGAGCTATGTCTTTGTTCCACAATGTTGCACACTCCGGCCCCACCTTACATTAAATCTTGGCTCCGCCCCTGTCGTTGGAACTCTGAGGAATGATACTATATATTTCATGTAGTTAAAAAATATATATATTTCAGCCCAAACCAGTCCAATCCAACTGTTAATTTATACCTTTTAAGTTTAAAACAGCCTGTGTGCATCCCATAATAGGCCCGTCTAACTAAAATGCCCATAGCCCATTTTGCAACTAGTTACAAAATGCCCATTGCCCTATTCCTAAATCAGTCTCATAACCACGACCTAACTTGAACATTCCCAACCGGCAAAATCGGCGACGACGAGGCAATTCCCACGACGCGCAACACGAACCAGTGACCACTGGTCGGCGACCAAAAATCCAACAACACTCAAACAATTGATTTCCTTGTACGTTTCTCTATATCTCTTTCTTTTCTTCTCTGTTTTTTCAAATTTAATTATTCATGAATTCCAATATAATTTACAAAACTTTTTACGGAGGAGTTCAATAAATTTATTTTTTCTTTCAAGGTTAAAATAATAAATAAAACATAAAAATAGATGACAGTTGAAAATTTTAACACATAGTTGGGCTTAGGCTTGCATTCAATCAGTCACACGTAACTAATGTGCTCAACCTACGGTTCTAAGTACGAGCCCACATGATTTTCCTAAATCCTAACCTAATGGATTTGATTTGGGCTTGGATTGAATAATACTCCACTTTTAAGTTCAGCCCAACTTTGAAGCCCTAGTCCAACCAAATTGAAGGTCGGCTCAACCGACCCAAGTCCAGGTATCCTTCAAACCCTCTCTCCAACTCCCCAATTCTCAGCGTCGCAACGTCTCTCTCCCACAAAAACACACACACAGACACACAATCAATTTGTAGTGATTGAAGAGCGTTTGAACGATGTGAGTGCTTGCTTCTTCACCAACTATTTTTCCTTTCTTGAATACTCAAAAGCTACTTTAGAATCACAAAACATTACTATTTGTTTTCTCTCTCTAAAACTGAATATAAAAATTTTCTCTGTGAAGGTCTCAAATCTGTGTGAAGAATTTGCCCAAGTACGCTGCCGAAGATCGCCTCAGAGAATTCTTTTCTCAGAAAGGAGAAGTCACTGACGCCAAGCTCATGCGCACCAAGTATATATTCTCCAATTGCTGTTCTGATTTTTCATTTTATATATATATATACACACACACATATATGTATATATTATGTATATATGTGCGGTGTGTTATAGAACTTGTTTGGGTAATAATAAATGTTTGATTTTTGAATTGTGTAGAGATGGAAAGAGTCGGCAATTCGGATTTATAGGGTATCGAACTGAGCATGAAGCTGAGGAAGCTTTGAAATACTTTAACAATTCCTACTTTGATACTTTTAGAATTACTTGTGAGGTGTGAGTCTCAATTCTCGTTGTTATTAATGTAGTTTTGATAAATTTCTTCTATTGTTATTAATGTAGTTTTGATATATTGTTACTGTGAATTTTTTGCTACCCCGGTTCCCACTTTTCTACCTTTTTTAACATTGGAGAAACGAGAATGAATATAGTAAATTGGATGCGTATAGGTACAAACACACACACAAACATATACTTAAAAGACTGTATTTTTCTAATTAGAAGTCTATTAGCGTGATATGGCAATTCTTGAAGCTCAAAAAGATGCACACATGATAGTTGTTTCGTAATGGGTTTAAGTATATAGTGAATATTTGGAAGCACATCAAGTCGGACAAAAAATAGTGACACTCAGCAATCTGTTTGAGTGTTTGTAGCATGCCATGTGAGAACTATTAAAGTCTTTTGTTTGTTGTGATATATTGAGTGCGCAAATACACAAAGATGCTGACCCATAAGAGAATGGCTTTGGCTTGAACTACGAGGCTAGTAAAACCCATAAGCTTTCTTTCAAGATAATTTTAATGTACTGAATGTTGAAAAGAACATATATTACACATTCAATATGTATTTTCCTTAACATTTTAGAAGTAAATGTTGTTTGCATATTGCCAGATTGCTCGTAAAGTGGGGGATCCAAATGTTCCACGGCCATGGAGTCGGCATTCTTTGAAGAAACAAGAGAAATCAACGGAAGAGGGAAAAAAGGTTACTGGCCCTAAAAGTCTGGGCCTTCCAAATTCTAAAGGAGAAAAAAAAGATAGTAAAAATATAAATGATAATAATGACCCTCAGCTTCAAGAGTTCCTTCAGGTAATGCAGCCCCGAATTAAGTCAAAATTGTGGGCAAATGATTCGTTGACGGCTCCCCCTCTTGAGCAAAAGGGAAAATTAGAAAGAGGGGATGGCAAAGAGGAATCAACTCTTGTGCAGGCTGAGTTAAATGAAAGAGATGATGGGTCTTCAGACGGTGAAGCAGCTGAGAGACCACACAATTTGTCTCATGCTGAAGTTATCTCGGATATGGATTACTTCAAAAGTAGGGTAAGGAAAGAATGGTCAGATTCAGAAAGCGGTGATGATGAGAATGACAATGATGAGGATGATGATGACAACGATCATGGTGGCAACAATTCTTTCCAGAAAAGCCATGGGGGCCATGATGTTCATAAAATAGATCCTAAGGGACAACATGATTCCCTTGAAGGAGATGCTTCTGAAGAGGAGGTTGAAAAGGGATCTTCTCAAGAATTTGATGATGAAATGATTGAATTGGATAATCCATCAAGTTCAAAAGATGGGAAAGGAAATGTTTTAGAGACTGCCCGTCTTTTCGTCCGTAATCTGCCATATACTGCCACGTAGGCTCCTTGTCTTATGTTACATATTTTCCATACAATGTGAGATGAATTCATTTTTTATTCTGGCGACCAGTGCTGATTGATTATTCTAAAAACTTTGATGGTTTTTTATGTATTTCAGTGAGGACGAGCTTGAAGAGCATTTTAGCAAGTACGGTCGTGTCTCACAGGTACATCTTGTTATTGATAGAGACACCAAACGGTCCAAGGGAATTGCTTATGTTCTTTATGCGCTTCCAGAATCTGCAGCTAGGTATTGCTTCTAGGTTAAAGCTTCAAGATTTGTAATATCCTCATGTTTAGGTTGACATTTGTGCTTTGATTTGCAACCTTTATGAGCTTATTTCCCTGATTTTCATGCCTCAAATTGTGAGGATTTGGATGCTGCACTCTGAGGATCAACTTATTTCAGTATTGAGACTTGGTCCCCAACTCCCTGTAAACCAACCAGAATTTATATTGCCAAAATGCTGTGTTAATAATACGCAGCTTATGTGCTATGTATTGGTAAAATACACGAGCCAAGCTGCTTCTTTCCTCATATACTTCTTGATTGATGAGGTCATAGACTTGGTATCTTTCCTCATAATCTTATCTTGTGTTGAGGAATATGAATACAAATGTCTTAAGTTCTTACGTGCTTCCTAACATGCTGGACAAGCATGTCTAGATCTTGGCCATTTTCTGATGTGATCTATGTTGTCTGTGCTTTTACAATAATCATCATTGTTTTTTATTTTTTATTTCAGGGCATTAGAAGAGCTGGACAATTCAATTTTTCAAGGCAGGTTATTGCATATTATGCCAGCAAAGCAAAAAAGTGCTCCTGAGAAACAAGAGTAAGTGGGAAATATGTTAACCACTTTTTGCCTTCCAAGGTTGCATTTTTATTTAACCTTTTTTCGCCTTCCAAGGTTGCAATTTTGCTATGTTTGTGTGTGCGTGTGGTTTAAGTCAAGCAGGAGCTTATATATTTTTTTTTGATAAGTAA